GTTGGATTACAGTTCTGGTCTTCTTCCTTTCCATAAATCTTTGCTGTTTCAGTAACTTTCAATTGTGAATGAGCAATTTCTACTACTTAATGTGTTACCAATAGCATTTTCTAGGGACCATCTGGTTTCTTTAATTGTTATAGCACTCTCTTGTTTCTTATGGCAAAATAATTTGATCTTTATTCGAAAATATAATCAATGTGGCATTGTCAAAAAAATTACTTCTTAGTTTAAGAGCTCTTGCTAACTATTCAGTTATTTTGGTTTAATGGTAGACAAAATCTTTAATGGTAGATAAAACTTTTATTATCTTACTTTTTTCTTGGCCCATAACAAGCCTCAAATTTCTGCAATAGGATTTAAAAGGCATTGCTTTCTTCATCCCTGAATATAAATGTATTATACAATTACAAGAAATCTCCAGCCACTGCCTAGAGCAGTGTGTTTTTCTAGGTGATCTATGTGGTAGCTGATTGCTGTCACGTAATCCTTGCTGTTAAGAAATCCTTGCTGAAAGCATTGCCTTTGATCTTCCACATTCCCAGGAAGCCTCAATTTTGGCAACGACTCCAGAGCATCTTTTAAAAAATGAAGAAGAGGAGGAAGAAGAAGCTAACAGCAAAAAGTGTGCTATTCTGTAAAGGTTGCTCAGTAATGTTGCAATTGATCTTCTAGCCTTTTGCTGATTCTGTTTTACAGTGCAACAATAATCACATTTTAATAAACCTTTTAATAAACCAACAGAAGGGTTTTTTTAAAAAAAAATGTTTGTTTTTGGTTTTAATCAAACCTTGGACTCTAGCATCCATTACTGCTGCAGAAGAATTCAGCAAGCATTCCCTTCTGACACCATGTGTTGTTCATTTATGAGAAAGCTATGGCATGGCAGAAAAAAGAAGGAGGGTAGTTTAAAACTGATGGGGTGGAACTACCAGCAGGTCATATAGCAAACATTTAGGCCAGTTACAAGTACCTGATATTCCACTATTACATGGGAATCACATGGCAGGCAAAGAAGACAGCAACGTTTAAGTACCCTCAAAGGGTAACACATATCCTGAAGAGCCAGTGCAATAGGAAGAACAAGATATACACCATCAATGTGTATGCCCTGCCAGTCATCAGATACCCTATCAGTATAGGACAGGAAGGCTGCTGATGTAAAGATCTGGAAGTTTCTCAAAATGTATGGATGAGAAAGAGAGATGGGGAATCTGGTGTCAATATAACTGCTGTGGATGAAACTCAGAATATTCAGGTGTACATCAGTAAGATGACATTGAAAGATGAGCTCCTGAAAAAAAATATGCCTGAAGCAGAAGCAGATATGCAAGGAAAATCAAGTGGAGGAAGTGCCATGGCAAGGCAAGACCCTGCATGGGATGCACCATTGACAGTTGAGGTGCTGACAGTGGGCATTCCTACCTGCATTGAAGCACTGATCACTGCAATACAATAATCATTAAGCAATAGAGGTTTCCAGTTTTGCGTCATGGCAAGATGGATGCAAGATGGCAGGGCTCTGCCTTCTGTGACCAATTTTGCCCTGCTGGGGGTCCTGGAAAGGGTGTAAAGTTGCCCCGAAGAAATGAAGAGGAAGGGTGCCTTGTTGATCATGGAGAAATGGCAGTCTTTCCATTTGATCCAAAGAAAGTCCTCTAAACTAGCAGAAGAAAGACCAGCCACAACTCTGCGGCCGATCATTAGCCGCTGACAACTGAAGAACAAAAGCTTTCATTAGCATATCATAAACAGCATGTTTGGAACCGGGTGATTTTCTGGAACTGGATCTTTTCTTTACTATTTTACAACTAAATGTCCTGGGAAAGGTTCCCAAGATGCTAAAAACCTCTGGATGTGAACAGAAGTGTTTTAAAATTTTTATGGGGGACAGAAAGATACAATACTACAGTTTTGATAAATTTGAGAATTGTTAAGATTTTTCTTTAAAAAAAATCATTGAGGTGAAATAAGAAATCAACCCTTTGTTTTAAGAATGGGAAATGGACTTTGAATAACATCTAGTGGTGGATTTAAGTATAGCACTATAACTAGCCCCTTGACAGCTTGGTGAGTTTCAGCTGAAGGGAGAACAACTGGCAGTAAAGAAAAATATTTTGTCATATTTATCATCCTGACCTTCTTGGACTATAAATACTTACTGAGCTTGGACTTTTAATCTCAAGAGCTAGTGGGAGAGAAAGAAAAAAATTATGAATATGTCTGGCCGCAGGGAGGTTGAACATTTTGAACACTTGGAACATTGTGGATTACAACCTTGCCCAACTGATAATTTTCAGAATACTTGAGACAAAGGATTACTATAAAATTTTGCCATTAGGACTGGAATATAAAGGCTACATATAAAGACTAGAAAACTAGAGGAAACTTTGTTCCACTCTGGGACTGGTGACAGAGGATTTCTAGGAATGATGCCTCAAGAAAAAATAAATACCTTTCAGAAGGAAATATTTTCCATGCTATAACTAATTCATTAAACAATTGTTGCACACAAAGGAGATATAAAAAGAATACATAAAGAGACGAAACTAACCTAGATGATATAAATGACCAAATCTCCAAATTGAAGCTACAACTGGAAAGTTCCCAGATAACGACTACAAAGTATGAACAAACAAATCAGAAAATAGAGGATGAAGTAGAAGAAATGGACCTAGAGATGGAGGAGATAGGAGAAGGGAAATATGGACTACCATATACAAATAAAATACTGCAATGAAAATACAAAAGACCCCTTACTCCTTTCTCCCAAATACACCTGAGGACAAGGAAGAAAATTATAGAAAATGGAATATAGAGTGGGCAGGGGAAATCTTTAGGGAATGTGGATGTGCAGAGTTCCCCCTAAAAATACTCTACCTAAATTGTCTTCCTCATGCCAAGCATCTTTCACAAAAATAGAAAGAAAATTTTGGGGTGATTTAATTGCCTTGGCCTGGAAAGCTGCTTGGCAAAGAAAGAAAGCGAGAGTTAGATTTAAAAAACAGAGGATTTGATCTATCAGAAGGGGAACTATCTGTTTAATATGGATGACCCTTAGATACAACTAGATTTTTATAATGGAAGATATGATTAAGAATTAAAATAGCATTTTTTTCTTCTTTTGATATGGGAAATTTGAAAATAAGAGGATTGGTATGAATATTTTTTAGCTATATAAATGTAAATAATACTGAGAAAATCATAAATGACAAAGATACTTTAAATATTGATGAGAAATCAAACTTTAATAAGAACACAAAAACAGGATATTGACTTATGAATTGATATTATTATTTGTACAATAATAGTAAAATATAATTAAGATGTCTACATCAATAGTATCAAGAATTGTAACTGTCTAATGAGGGGAAAATGAAAAAAATATGGGGAAGAAAGGAGGATCAAGGAAAAAATATTGGATTGTGTAGTACTGAATAGATTTAGATTGAAAAATGAATGTTAAATATGTTGTTTACTAAGCTCTAAAGAGTGTAATTTTTTAAAAATTAATAAAACATAAAAAAATAGTCACTAAGCAATAGATTCATAAAAGCATGGATCAACCACACTAGACGGACTTGAGGTGCAGACTATGCAAAGATGACACAGAAGATTTCATTTATTCCTCTTTCATCCAGGTCACTGTTCTATGTGCTATAGTCAGTCCCAGATAGGCCCATGGATACTGAATTTCACTACCCATCTTGCCTTGGTCAATTAAGAATTTTACAGAATGCTTTTAAATAAGGTGATAATAACAATTAGATTACCAGTTTTAGTAATTCTTGTGACAAACGCAGCATTCACTGCTAATGGTAAAGTCAGCCAGTTATTTTGGTCAGCAAACCACAAATGGAACCAAAGTTCCACTTTAATGCAAGATAGATTTTCTGTTCTAACAAGCAAGGTAGTCTTGTTGTAGTGTATAGGTAAACTTAGTATACTTATTTTTGTATAAAAATAAAGTGATCTGTAAATGGTTGAATAAGATTATAATGCCTTCCTTCCTACTCTTGATTATTAAAGAATACAAAATACAAAATGGGTCTGAAGGGATAAAATGAAAAAACAAACAGGAAACAGAAAGAATTCAAAATGTTAGGAATCTAAGAGAAAAGGACCGAAATGTTTGAGACTTAATTTTCTCTCCAAGTGCTCTATAGTGGTACCTCAATACTCACTGTTGTTTCCAGGAGATGTGAGTACCAGAAATGATGAGTACCAAACAAATTTTTCCCATAAGGAATAAGCTCGTGCATTGAGTACCAAACAAATAATGAATACTGAGACAAAATGTTCACGTCAAAATGCATTGAGTACCAAATTCGATGAGTTTCAAAGCGATTAAGTACCAAGGTACCACCGTATTTATAAACTATTTCTACTTGCATGATTAGTTTCATTATCCATTCTAATATGGCCTTTCCCTCCATACTGGATACCTGCTTCAATCATCCTTCTGTATACACAAAATGTCAATTATTTAATCATAAATCTTTTGAATAGGTCAGTACTTCCCATTTTTTAACTGGAATGAATATCTTATCAAAGGGTTAAAAATATAAAAATTGTAATTGCTTGTTAAATAATTGAATATTAAGAAAATATTTGAGATACTAAAATATTTATCATTAAAATAATGGAAGAACAGTATTTTCTGTGATGGCAGTAAAGTCGCAGAAGATGTGACATAAACAAGAGGGGAGATACAGTATGGACCTAAGTTAATTGAAGGAAAAGAGTTTTGCTGTTATAACTATGAAGAATTAAATAAAAAGCTATTCCGGTTTGTTCCAAAATTGGGAAATATGAAATAGGCTACCATTATTTACCTACTTAACTTTTAAACAGCAGTTACAGTAAATATACTTTGTGAGCTGTTAATTCTCAAAAAATCCGACCACAATACTTTCATAAAAAACTAATTTAGCATCATATTTTGTCTGAATAAACCATAATCAGCAAAGATTTAATAATGATATGAACACGATACTTACCACTTTTGTATCTATCGCTAACTGAGCAAAACCTTTACGCTTATGCCATATGAGCTTGTATGATTCATCACTAAAGAGTGCTTCTCTCATTCCTCCTGGAGAAATTCCAAGTAGCTTGCCTTTCTTGAGGACATTTAAACACTCTTCCTTTTTATTTTCTATAATACCCGTCACACCAGTTAATGCTTTAATACCTGAAAGAAAGTGCAGGATTACAAAATAATATGTTACATGTAAAGATCTATGAAGTTTCATTAATGCTTTACTTTAAAATAATAGGGGGGAATCAAATCAGAATTTTAAAGTGTGTGGATCTGATTTGGGAAAGATACTGTCTCTTATGTACAGGTAGTTACAACATGATAATAAATAAAGGAGAAAGACATTTTCAGTCTTCATTTGTTTTAATTTTTAATTTCACCTGAAGGGTGAAATACTAGTTATAGGAAAATTTAACATACTTTCAATTAATTTTATGTTTATAGTTGCAGAACCCATTTCAAAGTGATATCTTGAAATTATTTTTAATACAAATAAGTCATGGAAATACTTCACATATTTGGCCAAATAAAAGCATTTTAAAAATTTATACTATGCAAGGATTCATTGAAAATTAATCTGTAGTACAAAAATTGTATCCATCCTATATATTTTAAAAAAAAGAAATGGCATAATTTCTGCCATTTGGCACAGCATACTTTTATATTACTTTGTTAACCGTCTTGCCTAACCATGTACTTGTGTGAGAATTTGAAATTTGCATGGAATTGTGTGGTTTTTAAATGAGCCTAACTGATTTAATATAGAATATAAAAGAGCAATGCCAATGCAAGATGAGGTGTTATAAACAATTTTGTTTCTTGTTTGTGGAAACAAATTAAGGGAATTAAACCATTTGGGTGTTTTCTGATAGAACACAGATTAGAGCCAGAGCAACATGGATTAGTAGCAGAAAGAAGTGCCAGATAGCATGCAGGTTTAATAAATCATCATCATCATCATCATCATCATCATCATCATCATCATCATCATCATCATCTATTCTGGGAGCTCCTGAAATAAAGCAGGGAAAGAAGGAGCAATGCACACTACCATTAAAATCATTTCAGCTCACATGTGTTCTCTATGTTAAAAGCCCAGTTCATCTACAGTGATTCTGCAAAACATCCAGAACTGCAGTGTGTTTGTTTGGGGTTAGTTTTATGAAACACTTCTACTAATGACCAAATGATTCTATTATAATACATTTTCTTTTCATGAGCAACCTATTCTAAGAACAGACTATATTATGTCAGAGGCCTATATAAAACTGTTAATTCCATACAGTGCTTTTTTTCTAAAAAAAAAAAAAAAGTTGCCGGAACTCACACACGTCATACAACCGGCCTTGCCTACCCTACAAGGTTCCATCCAAAAAAGGTGCCGAAACTCCGTTCTGGACGTTCTATGAGAAAAAAAAGTCCTGATTCCATATATAGATAAGAATATTTTCCCCTACTCTTTTGTTTAACCCACTTCTAAATTATTAATACTAGCCAACAATTTCTAGCAAATAGAAAGTGTTTTCTAAAACAAGCTTTGAGAACTATTGACAGCTGCTGGCTACCAACACAAGAAACTGATCATATAAAAATCCATATTTCAAGTTTCCTAAGTTTGGAAAAACAAACTGAATGAAATGTTTTGCCATCATACATATTAATATAACTTATAAACATCACCTGGGAATATGAAAAGACAGTCATCTGCTATTGAGTAACAACACCTGCGCTTCAGAATAAAAAATTTAGCCAGAAAATACAAGTAGTCCAAGGGAACCGCTCCATGGTAATAAATAATTAGGCCTGGCCCATCTGGTATGTTTTCGATGCCATGGAGCTCATACCCTGTTTAAAATGCAAAGTATAAATCAATAATTATTCCATATTATGCTATATAAATCAGTAATGCACTAATTAAACTGTCATGCACATTTACTGAATGTTTCTATTGCAGACAATCATATTTTAGATATGATTAACTAATAAGTAGTCACAATCAAACAATTGCCTGAAAGTTCCATGTAGTAAAAGCTGCCATCTATGGTTAAACAGTTTGAATTAAGAATATACTTTCTGTGAACTTCTTTCATTTATGGAGTCATAGCAAGTGGTGGCACCTACCTAATCTTGGCTAATTAAACTTAAGTACTTAAGTACTTAGAAACTAATAGGAAATTCCAGAGCAAAGCAAACAAAACACTCTCTCAAAAGTTCAGTAATACAACTTCTGTAATGTTGCCAAGAAAACTATATTGCACATGTTTAATATAATTACTTGGGCAAGTGTTGTCTTAACCATTTAAGAAACGGTTTCCCAAAAATCCATTCACTGAAACATTCCAGTGACTGAGCAAGAGAGAAGACATTTTCCTTAATTAGGTTTTTGCATCCCAAGATCTATCCCAGAATTTGTTATCTACCCTGCTTTCCCACCTTCTAAGATCATGGTACAAATTGCTACAGTTTGATACAGGGAGGGAAGAACCAGCAAGTACTACTGCTTCACTTCTTCAATCAGAGCACCCACAGCAGAATTCTAATGAGATGCTTTCATTGATGGATTCCTATGCTAGAGATGAACAGCCTGAGGAATACTTGGCAGTACGGAAAAGGTTATGCTATGGTGCATAAACTTGAGCATCTGTAGATAACAATCTGTCCCTCAAGTGTTTCGACTCAACAACTGGAGTATCCTTATCAAAATTCAGCTGGTACTAACAAGCATGCTACAATTTGTATTTGTAATCACACCACAAGATACTACTGGAGCAGATGTATTTATAAATCTGTAGCCCTTATAGCAGGGGTGTCAAACTTGCAACATCACATGATGTGTATCGCAACTTTTTTGCCATTGCCAGCAATGGGATGGGCGTGGATTTGCTATGATGCATCTGGTCTGTGGGCTGGCAGTTTGACACTCTTGCCTTATAGAAAACAGAACCAACAGCTAATGAGCCCCTGCTCCTCCTGGCCAAAAGCGGAGCACTGAAAATAATCAATCATTTGGTGTTGGTTAGTTGGTTAGTAACAAAAGCGTCTTCCCAAATCCTTCAGTTTTATACCAAATGCCAATTCTCTCTACTATAAAAATGTGGAATAAAATTACACTGCTGGCATTTTTGTGTTTATGTTTGTGACAGGTGTCACTTTCCAAGCATCTTATGATGCAATCAAGACTATACTGTCTTTGGGCTCCTTTATTGAATCATAATATTCAATCATATTGGGATAGTAGAAATTGGGAGGCAAAACAAGCAGAAATCCCTTCCGGTGACCTTCTTTCTCCTCTCAGTGCAACAAAATGCTTCAGCAATACTTGGCATTTCTCAAGTAGCAAAAAACTAATTATAATGGTAGGCATACAGCAGCTGTGGTAGGTGATCAACAGAAGACTTAACTCCATCTTGACCTGGTAGTACACTTAACACCCACCATCATTTACTGTTAAATATGCAACCACCAGGAACTGAAATTTGACATTATTTAAAGAATCAGTAATTGCCCTACCCTGTACTGCAGGACTGGCCAATTACTGAGCCTTTAAACAGATAACAACAAAATTCAAAGAAATAAGACACATAAAAGAAACTGAGGCTAATAAGTCAAATGTATTAAATACTATCATATTCTTTGTTGGATGTTGGTCAATGTTCCCATTTTTAGTGCTTTTATATAATGCATGTTACAATTGGAGGACTTAAATAGCTAATAATACTTTAAAAACAAATATTGTATTAACTGCTGGTTGTTCATCACCCAGAATTATGTTCAGTGATGTAGGCAGCCACATACACTTATTTAGTGAATAAATAATTTATGGCAGAGTTTGATACAAAATATCAAAATATTGTGAGTTAAAACATCTGCTATCTCTGTAAGTACAGTTATACTGACACAATCCAACAACTGTAGATAATTCTGTAAGAGAATCTAAGTTTCTCACTAATATACATTTGCTTACCATGCCATAATCTTCCATATCCATCCAATATGGTTGCTATTATTAGCTTCACAGGATCCCATATATTACTGCAATAATTTCCATTCAGTTTGAGTGTCCTTTGATACAGGTGGAGGAATAAAGCAGAAATATAGAAAAATAATACGATGGCAAGTGGAACGGCAAATAATATAGTAGCAAGCAGCAGCACTGAGTAAACAACTATATAAATAAAATTGTTAGGAAGCCATTCTTCCAAAAGATATTGAAGGCATGTAGAGAAGATCATGGTTGACTATTAAGGCAAGCAGCATTTAGTCACATTCTTTCTACAGCACTAGTGTCTTCAGCCCACAGAAAATAATTCAAGTGCCCAGTCAAAAACATCACAGATATCTAAATATGCTAGCTATGCAACAATCAAGATAATCCTGATAAAACACACCCAAATCTAAATCAACCAATCCAAATGATAGACCCAGTTCAAGTTTATCAAGCACAAAATTAATTACTGGGAAAGGGAATATTGCTAATATATGCAATTGGATGTGGAGCAAAAAAAAGGAAAACACTTTGCTAGGAGAAAAGAGGAAGTCAGCTAGATAATACTACTGTAAAATGTATTATTTGGCTGTATCCTAAAACAGGATAAAATGTTTCCATCAAGAAGCAAAAATACTTTTTTTTTCAATTCCATATATACTGGATAACCATTAGAGGGCAACAAAGCCTTCCTATCTTTTAGCCCTGCCTAAGGGTCCTCTTAATTTCTGCAATTCAGATCTGGCAATCCTTCTACAGACCAGTATTTCTCAACCTTAGCCAGAATTTCCCAGCCAGTATGGGGAAATAAGCTTACTTATTTTTAACAGTATACCATATTTCAATATATATTTTAATCAAAATAACTGCATAACAAATCTTAACAGAAGAACTATATGCCACATGGATTTTCTCCATGATGATCTAATGTATTCTTTCAAGTCTTGTGGAAATCGTTACAAACCATAGCTGACCTTACCTGCAAAACCTATCAGATGTTCATACCCATTTATAACCAGTAAGAATAACCACGCAAAAAACCATTCAGGCTACAAAACACAAGGGGCCACTAAATAGTTTTTTTCGAATTAAGAATTTTCGTAGCTTTTTGCTCTCTTCCATCGGCCGTAGGGATTTCTGCAATCCGGACGCGTTAGTGATAACCAGCACAAGAAGTTATGTACTTGAGAAAGTGAAAAACGTTTCTTCCGCTCTTTAACACGCTGCTGCAAGGTGGGTCAGCGTATTTAATTTCAAAGGAATGAACGACAAGGATCTCCTGAAAATATTTAGCAGATGATATGGGCACAGTTCTACATCCCCAGATGTGCTGGAGGGCGGTTCGCAGACTGGGAATTCAGTGGCCTGCAGTTCAACACAGGTGGATGACCTGCTAAGAGGAGGAGGTTCCGTCCCATAGCCGCTCATTAAACCAGTCCTGCCATTTTCCTCCTCTTACGCCTTTTTTTTTTTTATCGTTCTCCAAAAATGCCTGTCCTAACCACGCAAACCTACGGAAGCTTCCAGAGAACCGCATCGGTATTGCCTCGCCTCGCCTCTACTTGCCTGCTGGTTATCACTGCTTCTTTCGCTTTCCACCGCTCGTCCCATAGCAGCTCCTGGTCAGTCTCTATTCAGCTTGTACCGGAGGGGGAGGGGGGAACCCCAGACGCAATCAGGGCTCCAAGCGAAAAAGAGCCTTAGCGACAACGGCTGAGGAGTACAGAGGGGGTGGGGTGGGGAAGGACCCACAATGCTCCAAAGAGCGAGGCTGGTTCTTTGCATCTCACTCTTCCTGGTCCAGTCTGAAGATTTTGTTTTTTTTCTCAGAGAATAAAACGCCCGCTAAACTCCCACTTTCTTCGACAGTAAATTTCCCTAACGTTTTCACGAAAAGCGCCTGAAGAAAATCCGTACGAGTTACACTGGTTTCAGAAACGTTCTTGCGACACCAGTTCTCAGAGAAAGGCCAACGGCGTTCTCAACGGGAGCTCAACCGGAACTCGGCAGGCTGGAGCCTCTGTGCAATAATATAATGACTACCAGAAGCATCTCCACGCGTTGCAAGAGAATCCGCTGAGCCTTTAAGAATAGCACCGGCCCCTAAAGTCGGACACAACTGGACAGGGGGAACCTTTGCCTTCTTAGTATTCTCAGGAATCTTCTCCAACACCAAAGTTCAAAGGCATCTATACTTCCTGTCCTGATTCTTTAATTTCCAATTTTTGCATCCGTAGAGTGTCACAAGGAGTACCATGGCTTGCACATAAAAAAAAAAAAAAAAAAAAAAACAGCAAAGCTTCACAGTTATCAGTATTCCTGGGAAAATCTGTATTTTTCAGGAAAGGGGTCAGCCAATTAAGTTAAGCAGCTTGCCTTTAATTTTCAATATTGGTGAAATAATATTTATGGCATCTACTAGACCCGATGATTTTATTTGAAAAGGCACTTTGGAGTGTGAATGCAACAATTTTTGTGACTCATGCAAACACCTGTATTTGTTTACCAGAGCTGATGGCTGGATTGAAATTCTCTTCTAATCATATGATCTTGCAGAGCAACATGATTTGTATTCATGACTTGCACAGGTAGTACTTGAGTTACCACCACAACTGAACCTGAAATTTCTGTTGCTAAGCAAAACATTTAAGTGAATTTTGTTCATTTTACAACCTTTCTCACCTTGTTTGATTCCCTTGTTAAGTGAATCACTGCAGTTGTTAAATTAGTAACATGGTTGTTAAGTGACTCTGCCTTCCCCATTGACTTTGCTGATAAGATCACAAAAATATGAGCAGTTGCAACTATCTGAATTTTGATCATGTGACCAAAGGGATGCTGAAATAGTCCTAAGTGTGACAAATGATCATAAGCCACTTTTTTCAGTGGCGTTGTAACTTTGTATGGTCACTAAATGAACTATTGTAAGTAAAGGACAACTTGTAATGAATTGCAGACATCTGCTGCATTCATGTTCCTATTCTTCTGAATTAAATCTTACAAGAACACCCACAAAAAAATCCCACAGTACAATAATTTTCTTGAAACACTAACAAGCTAATCAAAAGGGATAAACATTCTTAAAAGACTGCTCATAAATACTTAATAAAATATAGATTTTTCTGGAACCTTTAGAGAGATATGTGCCTTCTGTGATAATTTTAGTACTTATTGCTTTAAAGCTTTCTAATTCTATTTCATTGGTAAGTTAACTGTGTATCAGAATAAAATTTATTTTTATTTGATTTGACTGGTTGTGAACTAGTGTTCTTATCTTTTTATGGGGGGAGTATTGTTACATGCTGAACAGAAGTACAACATTGAACAAATGATTGAAAAGTAACTTTACAACTAGTCCTTGCATTTACAACCTTTGCAAATCTATAAAGGAAAGGAAAACTTAAGATCATAAACATAGTCATGATTTCACTTAGTGACCACTTTGCTTAATAACTGATTTACCAGTCCTAATTGTGGTCGTTAAACAAGGACAACCTATATGTAGTGTAGGGAGGAACTCTCCCGTTCGGTCCTTCCAGCCGGGATTCCCTTTTACGGCGCGGTGCAGAAGAAATAGATTGTGAAGCCAGCTACCAGAAAGAGGTTTTATTTCGAGGATCAGCGTTGAGTGACAATTCAGCTCGAGTCCCCGGCTAGCTAGACAGAGTGATCTTTAAACAGGGGTTTTTATACCCTTTTGTGGTTTCCAAACTTGTCATTTCTGATTGGTAACAAACTTACCATTTCTAATTGGTGAGTTAAAATTTGTCTTTCTTTATTTGCTGGTTTGTGACTATTGTTAGTTCCTTTTTCTTGCCTAAAAGGTGTTAATTACTTTTATTGTTGTGTCCTGATTGCTGCTAGCTGGTTCCTCATTGTGTGTGTCAAGTTTTTGCTGTTTTAGCCTCAGGCTGCTGTTGACCCAGTTTAGTTGGGGTGTTCCTAGATTATTTCTTAGTTGGGCTGGGGAGGGGGTGTCCAACTCTCATCAATTCCCCCATTTTGAGCTATTACTGATGTATCAGGGATTAGCCCAACTGGTTCATATATACGGTAGTGGTGATCAATTTGGCACATCATGAGAGATGTTTTCTTGCTTTGTCCCTTGCTCCTGATGGGAGTTGTGCAGATCTTTAGGCATTTTAACCCTAAGGGAATTAATTGGCATAGGCAACAAAGGAGGGCTCCACCTATTATGACTGTGATTATACTACCAATAAGAATTTTCAACCAATGGAAGTCTGGTAACCATGAAAAGAGCCAGGAAATGTTCCAGGATGACTGGTTGTGCCCAATGTTTTGTGCTAGTTCTCTTAAATGTTGGATGTCACCTTTAGCTTCCAGTCAGGTTTGCATACCCCCCAAAATTCTTCACAGCCATGGTTCTCCTTAGTACATGACCACTGGCTGCCCAGTTTCAAGGGTTGTTTCCTGCCTTAGCTCTTAATTCAGTGCATCCAGGTTGGTAATGCCCAACTGCCAGGCTATTAAATTTTCTTTAAATTGCACATAATGAGTTCTAGGAATCCCAATCTGAGCTCAACAGTGCAAAATATTCAGGGCATAAGTTTGGGATTTTTTCTATTGCTTCCTTAGTCATGGCATATGAATTGCAAATCACCTGAGGGGGCCTAGTTCCCTCCCCCTTGTTATCTGTTGGAAGTTGATCCCTCAAAGCTTTGGTGCAACAGAGCAAAAATCAGCCTGGGGAACTTCACTAAAGGTAGGTGGAGGGGATAGACTCAAATGTGATTCTGAATGGTGTCTGTGTGTGTGTGCATGTATATGCAGCTACTTTTACAAAATAGTCAATACAAACATTCTGGATAAATTTTCCCTCCCACCAGATAGAAGTCCAAGGTGTTCAGCACTTGTTCTGCCACATATTCCTAAATGCCATCTCTCCATTAATACATTCAACTGGCTTGTTACAATACAAATGGGGCAAGAAAGAAAAGTTTACAATGAGTTTCCACCCTCCCCCCACAGTCTTAATTTTCTCTTCTGAGGCTTCACATGGCACCAGGAATCCTTCCTTCTGCAGCTCTCACAGGCATCTGGGGAAATGGTAGGACTTGGGAAGATTTTCAACTTAGATTGCATGGTGGCTTTTTAGTGGATGGCTGGATTCAAAACTCAATTCCATGGCTCACATGGATGGAGGCAGCATCTGGGTCTGTGTGTTCTGCTTCCAAAGGCTTGGGAGAGGGTTTCAGGGCTGAAAGATACAAGAACAAGGTCTCCCCCGCCCTTTCTGGGTTGACTCTACCAGGAGAGGCAGACAAAAGGTATGGAGAACAAAGGACAGGAAAAGAATTGGAAGAGGGGTAGCTTGCAGGCAGTTTGAAAAGGGCATTAATACTGCAGTTATTAAACATAGACAAATGGGGAACAACAAAATGAAATGTTTCACCTTTGAACTTGACCATTTGCAACATATTATGGACAAGAACTTGCAACTTGAAAGGAAGAGGAGAAAAAAAAATGCTAGGCAGCTTGAGAATGCTGAAAACTCCAAATAATTTTAAAAGCCTAATATTTTAAGGTGTGCAACTTTCCAGAGGTAGAACATTTATTCTAAAATAGACCACATCATTTTAGAGATTGAGAAATGCTTATGTTTCAGAAAGCTTCATAGTAGTTTCACCAGTAAGTGATAGGATAAGAAAAGTAACTTTAAAAAATTATTTCCCCACACAAGCAGACTTGAGTTTCAAAATGCTCTTGTAGATAGGCACACATTTTTCAGGAAAAGGATAGATAAAACACATACAGTAAATGCAAGTGAAACTTTTCCAACTGATAAACTTAAAACAATCCCTCCAGGTAACTTAAGGCTGTTCTTGAGCGTACACAGAGACAGAGAAAAACAAACAAACAAACATATTTTTTTTTCTTCACTCTGTTTGTTGGCCAGACAAACAGAGTGAGGTATTTCCTTTTTGTGGCTTATTTTTAAGCATAATTTCTAGCAGAATTTAAAATTCTTTTTCGTTTGGATTTGAAACAGCTAATAGTCACATTTACCTCTCACGCAGACTTTGACAAACATATATACACAAAGACAAGAGAACAGAAGTCTTAGTTTTACACATCCTAGTCATTCCCACCATAAATTTCAGATAACTCAAGTTAGGGAAGGCACACATTTTAAACATACCACGTGGTTGCATAGAGAAGAGAGAGAAGAGAGAGAGAGAGAGAGAGAATCACTATTTCTTATTTTCCCTTTTAAGTACCTTTATTTAGCCAAATTGGTTTCCCAGAAAGGCCCTAAGCAAAGTCTATCTTTCTTTCATACACTATACAGTCGAAGTCTCCTTGTGAGACTTCTTTCCTAACTTTGCATTGCTTACAGGGCCTTACCAGCTAGTTGCCCAAATCCAATTCTTTCATTGACTCATTCCATTTCATTTTCACACATTCTCTCCGTTTTCCCTAACAAAAGGTTCTGTGCTCTGGCCAACCCCCATGCTGTCCAGGTTCTGCCAATTAAACAGATCCTTTCTGCGGCTAGGAAAGACCAGAAGCAGCAAAATCCAATTGTGAGTGTCTACAATAGACTTTATGGTCTCTATAACGGTTTGAGGATCCGCACGAAAGGTGGCAGTATCCTTTTTCCAAACAACCAAATCGGACGGGGAGAAAGGGGTGTGGGTTAAAATGTGTCCTGTCTGGCCCCTCGGTCGCCCGGGTATGGGCCTGTTCAACAAGGGGGCCATGAAGGTCGGTTCAGGGTTATCTAAGGGAGGCTGGGGGTCCAAGTTGACTTGGGTCGGGTTCCTCTGTCTGGACAGTTCGGCCCAGCAATACCAGTACGGTAGTTGGGTTGGCTCTATCCTTGACCTAAGTTCTTTTAGTGTTCTGATTTCTAGGGTGCCACCTTCGGGCCAAATTTGTCTCCCGCGGTTATCTTTAAGCAAAGCCCATTTCCTACATAATTCCTCTAATCGCTTCTTCATTCCAGCCTGGACAGGAAGCTGATTCCTGTCCCAGGCTTCGAGCAAGCTCTCAACTGGGAAACCCACTTCGGCCCTTGAATTGGAACTCCCCAACCTTTTATAATGGGGTTTTAAACCCACTTCAGCCCTTGAATTGGAACTCCCCATTCTTTTATAACGGGGTTTTCCTTTCAATGTTAAAGGGTACTAACAGTCGAAGTCTCCTTGCGAGACTTCTTTCCCAATACAGTCGAAGTCTCCTTGCGAGACTTCTTTCTCCTAATACAGTCGAAGTCTCCTTGCGAGACTTCTTTCCCAACACAGTCGAAGTCTCCTTGCGAGACTTCTTTCTCCTAATACAGTCGAAGTCTCCTTGCGAGACTTCTTTCCCATAGTACAGTCGAAGTCTCCTTGCGAGACTTCTTTCCCAATACAGTCGAAGTCTCCTTGCGAGACTTCTTTCTCCTAATACAGTCGAAGTCTCCTTGCGAGACTTCTTTCCCAATACAGTCGAAGTCTCCTTGCGAGACTTCTTTCTCCTAATACAGTCGAAGTCTCCTTGCGAGACTTCTTTCTCCTAATACAGTCGAAGTCTCCTTGCGACACTTCTTTCCCCCAATACAGATTCTCGGAGGTGAGCGGCCACCTCCGCTCGGGGCTACTGCTTTAATATTTACTGGCAGAAGGGGTCCTGGCTTGCCCAGAATAGGGTTCTCTTTCTCTGCCCGCTCGGTCCTCCTCTCTCACCAGAAGGTCTCACGCTCCGATGCCCCCCCCTTGCTTTCCCGAATTCCGCCGGTCACGGCTCCACTGGAGCTAGCAGCAGGTCGGGGTGTGGCTAGAGGGCACACGGAGGGAGCGAGCTCCAGCTGATTCTAAGAGGAGGATGCCTCACACACACACTCATGCATTCTTCCTTTCGTTCCCCCAGACCCTTTAACCTAATAGATTTAAATTTGGTGGCACTTACCCTCTTTCCTGGTAGCTGTTCGAGCGTAAGACTCAAAAACTCCCTTTACTACCCGATGCCGACCGGGCAGGGTCCGAGGAGGCTTCCCCACGGATCAAAGTGTCCGCTGCCAGCTGGGTGATGACTCTTCCGGGCCCGGTCCGGTGGCTGGGTGAGCTGGAAGTCCCTTCGTGGGTCGCCAGATTGTTGGGAGGAACTCCCCCGTTCGGTTCTTCCAGCCGGGATTCCCTTGACGGTGCGCGCAGAAGAAATAGATCGTGAAGCCAGCTACCAGAAAGAGGTTTTATTTCGAGGATCAGCGTTGAGTGACAATTCAGCTCGAGTCCCCGGCTAGCTAGATAGAGTGATCTTTAAACAGGGGTTTTTATACCCTTTTGTGGTTTCCAAACTTGTCATTTCTGATTGGTAACAAACTTACCATTTCTAATTGGTGAGTTAAAATTTGTCTTTCTTGATTTGCTGGTTTGTGACTATTGTTAGTTCCTTTTTCTTGCCTAAAAGGTGTTAATTAATTTTATTGTTGTGTCCTGATTGCTGCTAGCTGGTTCCTCATTGTGTGTGTCAAGTGTTTGCTGTTTTAGCCTCAGGCTGCTGTTGACCCAGTTTAGTTGGGGTGTTCCTAGATTATTTCTTAGTTGG